CCGCCTTCCCTCTTTCCACCTCATGCATACCCAATATGCACACATAAACATGCATACACATACATACATTTATATTTCATGCATGCATTTTAATTTTATATATATATATATATATATATATATATTCAATAATTACATAATTCCACATACCAACATGTATCAACTTATCATGTTATCACGTTATATTAAATACCTTGGGTAATAACCATGATCTGGTTATCACATTATCCACCCCTCAAAAGAATTCCGTCCCGGAATTCCTTTAATCAAAAAGCCACGGGTATTCTGATCTCATCTTTGACTCCAATTCCYATGTTGCTTCCGGTCCTTTGTGAAACTTCCACTGAACTTTAACCAGATCTATCTTTTTGTTTCTCAACACCCTGACCTTTCTGTCAATTACGGCTTCTGGTGTTTCTACAAAATTCAGCTTACTGTCTAATTGAATCTCTGTCAAAGGTACAGCTAGATTCGGATCAGCCAAACATTTTCGTAGGTTCAACACATGAAAAGTGTTGTGAATTTGACTCAGCTCTTCTGGCAGCTCTAACTGATATGCTACTGGCCCAATTCGCTTACATATTCTGAACGGCCCGACATACCTTGGACTGAGCTTTCCTTTCTTCCCGAATCTGATAACACCCTTCCATGGCGAAACTTTTAACATTACAAAATCGCCTACATCAAATTCAATGGATTTTCGACAATTATTTGCATAACTTTTCTGGCGATCCTGTGATGTTTTGATTCTTTCACGGATTTGTTCAATCTTTTCAGAAGTTTCTTGAACAATTTCAGGACCCGTTAGCTGTTTTTCACCCACTTCATTCCAGCACAATGGTGTTCTACACTTACGTCCGTACAATACTTCATATGGTGCCGCTTGTATACTGGAATGATAACTGTTGTTATATGCAAACTTTATTAATGGTAAGTGATCTTCCCATGATCCTCCGAAGTCAATAATACAGCTTCTCAACATATCTTCAAGAGTTTGAATAGTCCTTTCACTCTGTCCATCAGTCTGTGGATGATAAACTGTACTTAGTCGAATTTCAGACCCCAGAGCTTTTTGTAACCCTTCCCAGAACTTTGAAGTAAACCGACTGTCTCTATCAGAGATAATAGACAAGGGAACATCGTGTCTGGTAACAATTTCTTTAATGTAAATCTGTGCTAGCTTTTCTAAAGAGTATTTCTCTCTTATCGGTAKAAAATGTGCAGATTTAGATAAACGATCCACAATTACCCAAATCACGTCATATCCTTTTGGTGTTCGTGGTAATTTCATAACGAAATCCATGGTAATGTGATCCCATTTCCATACAGGTATTTCCAAAGATTGGAGGCTTCYATAAGGTCTCTGGTGTTCAATCTTGACCTGTAAACATGTTAGGTACTGTTCCACATACCGTGCTATATCTCTYTTCAATCCTGGCCACCAATAAAAAGGTTTTAAATCTTGATACATCTTATTGGTACCTGGATGGATAGAGTATCGGGATTTATGACTTTCATTCAATATCCTACTTCAGATATCTCCAAAATGTGGTACCCAGATTCGTCCTTGAAAGCACATAAGTCCTTCATCATTTGGTTCCAAGGTTGAGATCATCTTACCCAACTTTTCTGTTTTAACAAATTCTTCTTTCACAGCTTCTTGTTGGCACTTCTGAATTTCCTTACGAATATCAGGAATCAAATTCATTCTCATTACTACAGTTTTGATGGTTCCACTCCTTTCCTTTCTACTCAAAGCGTCAGCTACCACGTTGGCTTTTCGTGGGTGGTAAAGAATTTCACAATCATAATCATTGACTAACTCAATCCACCGACGTTGTCGCATATTCAAATCTTTCTGGCTGAACAAATGATGTAGACTCTTATGATCTGTGTAAATTTGGCATTTGGTTCCCAGAAGATAATGCCTCCAAATTTTTAGAGCGAATACTACTGCAGCTAACTCCATATCATGAGTTGGATACTATTTCTCATGCTCTTTCAATTGTCTTGATGAATAAGAGATTACTTTTTCTCTTTGCATTAAAACACATCCCAACCCTAACTTTGAAGCATCGCTGTATACTACAAAGTCTTCAGATCCATCTGGTAGAGTTAATACCGGCGCACTACAGAGGTGATCCTTTAATAGTTGGAAAACTTTTGTTGTTTTCCCACTGAAATTTAACATTCTTTCGAGTCAATTTGGTTAATGGCACGACTATCTTAGAAAAGTCTTGAATAAACTTCCGGT